AATGATTCTTCGCACTTTTCAACATAAGAAAGCTCCATTGTGAATTTTCGTTATAGTTAGCCGTTTTTGAGATATTTCGATTTTTAGGGTTCGATGCATTTTCAATTATTTATGATAAAATAACGTTAAAAAGTCAGTATCTCGATAATTTTTAGAAGTAGGCTGTGCCTCCAAATATTTTTCAAATTGAAAGCAGAATAAGGTTAAACATCAATTAGTTGACAGTTAGTTTTGTTGTCTGTTGAAACCTGAAACGTTTTTTTGCAATTGTGAATGCACGATTTTAGTTTCTTTTACCTGTTTTTTTTGTAAGTTTTATAAAAATGCCATTTTTATTCTCCAATCAAGAGTTAGCGGATATTCATTTTGTGTATAGCTTTGTAAATGGAAACGCAGCAGAAGCAGCCAGAGAATACGCACGAAGATTTCCTAACAGACGACATCCAACTCGCTCAGTATTTGTAAGAGTGCATCGCCAAATAATTGAAAATGGTTTTGGAAATCTCCAAAGGGATCAAAACATAAATGTTCGTCAGCGCAGATTTACCCGTATGATTCTGCGTGAGTTTGATAGAGATCCGACCACAAGTGTTAGGAATCTGGTGCCTTGGGAATTTCAGCAAGCCATGTTCACGGTGTTCTTAGAAATGACCATATACGTCCTTACCATTTGCAACCTGTGCAAGGACTACAACCAGGGGACGGAGAACGAAGAATCACATTTTGTCAGTGGATTCTTGATAGAACTGATAATAATAGGGAGTTTTTAAGTAACGTTTTATGGACCGATGAGTCATGCTTCACTAGACGTGGAGTGGTAAATTTTCATAATCAACATATTTGGTCGCATGAAAATCCGCATGCAGTTCGGCAAAGAAATTTTCAGCATGAATTTAGTGTGAACGTGTGGATACTGTGGATTGGTATCTACCGTAATCGACTATTTGGACCCTACCTTTGGCCTGCAAGGTTAAATACTGCGACCTTCTTGGAATTTTTAAAGGCTGAACATGCAAATATGTAGGATGATGTTATGTTAGATTTAAGAAGATTGGTCTGGTTCCAGCTTGATGGTTGTCCAGCTCATTATTCGAGAATAGTTAGAAACTGGCTGGACAAAAATTATCCAGAAAGATGGATCGGCCGTGGAAGACCAGTCGCCTGGCCTCCACGATCTCCTGACCTAAATCCATTAGATTTCTTTGTGTGGGGATTTCTAAAAGAAAAAGTGTACCAGATCCCGTAACCACAAGAGATATGCTAATAGACAGAATCAGGAATGCATGTGATGAAATAAGGCCTTATTTGAATAATGCTATACCACGTTCGATCATTCGTAGATGTGAATTGTGTATTGAACAATTGGGTTTACATTTCGAGCAACTACTTTAGATTTTGTATGTTTGTCCTAACTATTCAATAGCATTTTAGTTGTAAATAATTAATTTAATTTGTTAAAAATAATATTGGAAAATTAAACAAATTAATATTGTTTTATGTGTTTATTTGGAGTAAGGAATTATTGCTGTGTTTAAAAACACAATCTAAACGATCATCTTAATTACTTGTAATGCCCAAATCGAAAATGTAAAAAAAATATTATTTTCCCATAAATAATTAAAAATGCATCAAACCTGCATCAAAAATCGAAATACCTCAAAAACGGCTAACTATACCGAAAACTCACAAGAGAGCTTTTTTATGTTGAAAAGTGCGAAGAATCAGTTTCTTCATTCAAAAAGCAAAAAATTGGTACAGTACAGGTACAGTAGAGAGCGCCCTCTAGTGGTTACAGTAAAACTATGCCCATGGTTCGTTTTGTCGTACCAAAAAACCCTTGTATACCAATTTTCACTATTATACATCAATTATTGTTCGAAATATTTAAAAAAAACTATTTTAGAAAGTAAATTTAAACACCCTGTATTTCGGAAGCCACGCATTTTTCGACCCATGTTTATATAGACTTTATGCATTGATTTTAAAAGTTCTATCGAATCTTAAAGTTATGCAACAAAAAACTGAAACACCCTGTATATCAGATATTCCTGTTATGACCGAAGTGATACAGCATTTGCAGACGATGCAGGGCATTAAATCCACTCCGAACAAAACAACATCTCCTAATACCTTTTTGAAGCACAACCTACTAGATAAGCAAGAAACTCAGCTCATGAAGTTAAAATGTCATGGAAAACACATTATGAGCTTTTTCTAATGAAACTGTGATTAAAATAGATGTAGCTAGATATATGCTTCATTGCTTATTTCAGAATAAAGTACGTTTCCCGTTACGTGAACTTAAAACAAACTATTCAGTAACAAGCCGATGTGTATTTCTTTGTTAATGGTGCACCCAATACAAAATCACCAAGTATCCGATTTCCTTAGAAATGCTCATAATTCGGAATGGAAGTTAGCGATAGACAGAGAAGAGGGAGAGAGAGAGAGGAACTTAAGAACCCAGCTTCAACTTTATGCGTATTCTAGGAATGGGTAAATACTCATCTATAAACTTCCCTGGAAAGTTCTGCTGACTAAGGACTTCCAGCATTGCGTTCGGAATTTTCAACTCTGTGCTTGAATGGAGCCGTAGTGCCACTTGAAGATTTGATCGAAGGATTGTTTCTGTTCAAATTAATTAGTATTTTCTTAGAAAAATGAGTTTCGTTTATAGAGCTTTCTGCTTCATTTGTTATTAGTTTAGCATTCCTTGGAAACGAGCTATTGAGACGATACAATTTAAATACATAACTAAAAAAGTTAAGGGAGCAATAAAAAATCCAAATTTTTCAGTGATTTTTGGCAAGCTGTATTTTGGTAAAAATTAGATTCTAGTTCTTGACGTTTAGTGTTGATTTTAAAAAACTCAAAAAGTCACTGTTTGCCTTGTTTTGGAAAAGCGACCACATTTTTGGAACTGCTAATGAGAATGATAATGTTTTTAGGTTTTTTACACTTCAATGTATCCCTAATAACCGTACACCATGGCAGATCGATCCAGTGTACGGTTTCTCTGAACCGTTTTATCACGATTTGAAAGGAATCAAAGACGCATTTTTTTTCAAAACATCCTGTCATCAGGTTGAAAAAGGAAAAATCAGTTTTCTTCTTTTGTTGTCACATTGGATATCTGTAACACCTAAAGTTTTAAAAAAGTAGTTGGAAAATTTTTATTCTTTTACTCATGGAATATTCCAAAAAACAAAAATACTTACCAGGAAATATTAAGTGTTCCGTTATTACAAGTATATTGAGGTATACAAAAACCTAAAAACATTAGCTAAAATATTAGCTTTCTCATTAGCAGTTCCAAAAATGCGGTCGATTGTCCAAATCAAGGCAAAAAAACTTTTTTGGCTATTTTAAAATCAGTACTAAAGAAATTGCAATTTAATCTTATAGGAGACTTCCTCCAGTTTTCAGAACTAGCCTTTCATTCTCTGTGCGATCACTTTTTACTGTTTATGGTGGTCGATGACAAAAGGATCGTTTTTTTATTCAATTGTCAGATATCTCTGCGCCAAATGATCGTAACAAAATTTTAAAAACAGAATATGGCATTGGAGCTGAATAAATGGGCTATCTGATCCATATGACGGCCCCTGTGGGCTAAAGAGAAGGAAAATATTTTGCAAAATATGTTCCATGCGATATCTGTTAGAATTGCATGTGAACCGTTACTCCTAAAATTTATTGGCTAAAAAACATGAACTATAATCTCAATGCTTCAAAATGTTTTTATTATCTAGATACGATCATTTTTCACCTAAATACTTGCTTCCTTAATTTTGTTATGTAGTGTATTTTGGTGGCCACCAAATGAAACCGCAGATGAAGGAATGAAAGTTTACTAACGTTTGATCATCCTCGTTGGCCTTTTTCAACGTAAAACTCAAAAGGTCAATGAACTGAAAAAACACAAAGGTGGCCGGAACGCTAGTAAACGTTCACTCCTACTTCTGGCTTCATTTCGCGACGATATCCCTCATAGTATTGACGTAATCCTTGCTCTTGTGATACTCGCAGGAAGAGTCAGCGGGTGTCAAATTTGGAGGCAGCGGTGACCATGTAATCTCATCGAAGCAGATAATGGAATTACCTAATTTGAAAATGCCAAACGATTAACTATAAGTGATGCATTTCGTCAAATTATATTATATGTTTGCAGTTTGGATATCTTTCGCCTGTACTTCTCAGGCTTGGTCACTGTGGATCCACGCCTACGGTGTTCTGATCTATCGCTTTGGTGATATAACACTGCCACCATGATCACCAGAATTGGCCCCGGTGGATATTTTGCCGAGGAAATACCTCAGGCGCAAAATGTACGTTAATCCTCTGAAAAATATTATAGCTGTTGAAATAGATTGAACCAACTGTGTCTGAACACGTTATACGAAGTAGCTACACATGTTCCATGAGTGCGTAATCTTAATAAAATAAATTTCGCTTATTTCATACAGGGTGGCGCATCGAAAACGAAACAGACGCATTTACTGGCAGCTCAGTTTTTTTTGGAAAAACGCTCAGACCAATCGATTTTGTTTTCGAGGGGGACACAAGTTTGGGAAAAAATAACGTTAACACGTACAGCCCCCTAGGCGGGGGTGACACCTACCCTAAAATCCTAAATGGAAAGGGGGATCGAGTAATACCTTATTGTAAAGGTCTTTCAATTCCCTTTATAATGATGTAAAATACATGAGCGTTAGTTCAGTAGTTTTGAAGATTTATTGATTTAAAGCTTAAAGTAGACTTTAATAGGTACATCAGATTAGTTTGTACTACTTTCAGAAAAAAATTTGACTAAAAGAATTTACTTAATAAGTAGGGGAGACCGGGGCGGAATGGGGACCTTGACATTCAATTTCAAGTTTGGGTGGGTAAATGATGTTACAAAAATTTAAAAAGGTGCATAATGATCTATTGAGGTATCATAAAAATGAAAACACAAACAAATATAAAATTAAGGCTAACAGTTTTTTTATATCATCAACTTAAACAAAAAGTGTCTTTTGCTCCATTCTGCCCCGTCGGCGGGGCACGATGGGGTACTCGGGCTTACAAATGTCACAAATCAGTTCTGACTCGTCGTCGTCACTATCTGTTCCCGCACAAGAGTAATGAGCCCACTTTTTACACTGAATGCAAGAAATCCAACCTTCAGTTGATGTTGAATATTGGTCGCTACACAATAAACATAATGTGTCTTCTCCTTCTTCCTCCTCGGAGCTTACTCTAGCTTCTATTATCTTTTGCTTTTTTGGTCGAGACATCTTTTCTGTTTCCCTCTTCTGCTTCTGACCTGAAAGATTTTTTTTTCACTTTGTTTTTCTTTGATTTTTCTAATGCCTCAGTCAACTCTGCTTTATACGGTGACTCTGTAATAATAGTGGTTTTGCCTCTCTTTCTCTGCACTCGCTTAACGGTTGTCGTTAGTTTTGGTACTGGCATAAAAGCTTCCGGAGAAACGGCTGGATAACTAGAGGTGATCACTTTTTTTATTGGTGCAATAGGAGTGTCAGACATCCAGGGTAAAGAGCCATTTTGAGTTTCGTTGCTAGTTTCCTTTAGTTCTCTGGGAGGTGGGGTTGAGGGATCATTGAAGGAATTATTTATTATGGAAAATCATCGACTTGAGTTACTTGAGTAGGGACAATTTCTGTCTCAGCAACGGCAATATTAGTTGTCTCGTCTGGTAAAAAGTCATCGTCAATGAAAATTCCCTCGTTTTTTGGCCAAATACCAGTTTTTTCAAAACCTTTTAGCGCGGTTTTCATATTAGTGGCGTTAATAAGAGCTTGTCCAAACAAGGTTGAAATTTGAAATAAAGTAACAACCTTACCTTGGTTTGACCGCAACCATCTTCGCACTTCATCTTCGTAGTATAGACTTAAAGGTCTCATAAATGCCACATCTAGAGACTGGAGCCTGTGCCAACAGTGCGGTAGGAAACATAATAAAATAACGCCATTATCTCGAGCCAGATCTATTACATCGATGTTTTTCGTATGAGATGCATGTCCATCAAATAGTAAGAGCACGGGAGTTTCTTTTTTGCACCTGAAAATTTAATAAACTTCTTAAACCATTCGAAAAACACTTCCATAGTCATCCATCCAGATCATTTGCCGCAATCCAAGCTCCATGTGGCAAGCCCAATTCAAATTCTTGTCTCTTCTTTTGTCGCGGGAAAATCAACAGGGGGCGCATGAAATTTGCCGCAGCAGAGCAACAAATTTCTGCCGTTACTGTATTGCCACGCTCAGCAGAAGTCAATACGCCTACCTGACGTTGTCCTCTATTTGCAATAACCCTTGAATGCTGCTTTGGAATCACTGTAATGCCAGTCGCATCGCAATTATAAATTCTTTCACAGGTATTTTTTTTCTCAATAATAACTTTATTTAATAATGTAAAGAACTGCGCGACTGCTACTCGGTTAAATACCATGGCACGTGCTCCAGAAGTGGCCTCAGACTTCCTCAAACTTAACTCTGAATGACGCCTCATAAATGAGTGGGCCCAGTCTTCTCCCGCCATTTCTGTATCTTTGTTAAATGGATGCTCACAACCATTCCTGACCACTAATTGATAGGCTAGCTGTCTGTGTTCTTTTAATGTTAAACCAAACAATCTCTTTTGCATATCCTTTAAATATACAACTAGTTCTACCTCTTGGTCTTGAGTAAAAATACAGTGATATTTGCCAGCGGTTTTATCAATCACAGAATTTGGGTCAGTCCTACGCTTTTTCACGTATGTTTCCAATGTAGTTTGTTGAACCTGGAATTGAATTGAAGCTTTCTTGCAACCCATTACGCCACTTACTACTGCAGCTACAGCTCGTTCCATAGTTTCAGAACTCCACCATTGCCAATCGGTCTTTCTAATATAATTGCGAACCATCTGAAAGCTACACAAGGCATCAAAACGAGATCGTTGATAATAAGGGGCAGAATGGGGTCCCAACCCGTTCTGTCCCACACCGTTCTGCCCCACAAGCTACTCATAACAAAACATAATCTTTGCATAGAAACGCTTTATTAATATTTTGTCGTGAATATGCCAAAAGATACTTGTACACATGCCGTGTACAGTTACATGGACAAAAAACGCCAAAACAAATAATTAAATAACTTACATTGTATTAAAAATCCTGGAAAGTTATATCCACATGCACAAATTCATTACGTTTGGCCGAAAACACTTTGAAGTGTTTGCTGTAATCTGTTCATTGTTGCCGACCGATGCGTGGCGTTCTACTAAACGATAACAGAGAGCGCTAGTAACATCTAGCCTTTACAGTGAGAAATATGGTATGCAAACCGTTTTGCCCCGGTACTCTGCCCCGCCCCGGTGTCCCCTAAATGCTTTTCTTTACTACGCCCATTTTGTTGTTGAAAATAGCTATTGGAGCGTTTTTTCGTGGCCAAAAGTTATTTCTTTAAGAAAGATAAGGAAATATCTCGGACTTATTTCAAATAGGAATTTAGTACATAGTTCGACCAAACCTTGTTGCTAAAATAACTTGTAACGCTTTATTACATAAATTAACCATGGTATATTCCACAGCAGAAAGAGTTGAAATTATCGAAATATTTTTCGGAAATAATCAGTGCGCTAATAGAACAGCAGAAATATTTAATGAGCGACATGAGAACAGTAACGTGCATCGAAAATATGTTCTAGAACACATAGCGAAATTTCGGGAAACTGGGTCAGTCGCCAGTAAAAAACGCAACATTGAAAATCCCGTAAGGAACGAAGCCATAGAAGTGGGGTTTTAGGGCAAGTTTATGTAGATCTTACGTTAAGTACCCGCAAATTGGAGACAGTGTGTGGAGTTAGTCGACATACTGTCCAACGGATTCTAAAGGCCCATAGTTTTCATCCGTATAAAATTCACCTGGTACAATGAAGACTACAATTTTCTGAAGATAAGAGTGAAGGAATTATAAACGATGAACATTTTCTATTCAACACTTGCTTTTCCGACGAATGTTCCTTTTTCTTAAATGGCGTAGTAAGTCGTCATAACTGCCGATATTGGTCCGATTCTAATCCCAGAATTTATCATGAGGTTCATACACTGCAGCCACAAAAATTAAATGTTTGGGCTGGTATTTTTGGCGATCATTTAGTTGATCCTGGATCCTGCATTAACATCCATAATTGAAAATCAGAATGATCGGCGGTACATTGCGAATAGGTTGATGTTCCAACAGGATGGTGCCCCACCACATTACGCATTACGTGTTCGACAATATTTAGATCAGACGTTTCCAGATCGATGGATTGGTAGAAAAGGTACCATTGGGTGGCCCCCAAGATCGCCAGATTTATCACCTTTGGATGTCTTAATGTGGAGTCATTTAAAAAGCAAAATCTACGCTACTCAGCCAACATCATTAGAAAACCTGCGACAAAGAATTGTGAATGAGTGCCTTCAAATTACTCCTCAAATATTGCAAAATGTGCGGCAACGTTTTGAGCAAAATCTTTATTATTGCATGGAGAGTCATGGTGGCCATTTTAAACATTTACTTGCCTAACGGGTCAGTTCATTCTTCATTTTTAAATTACTTTGCTGCCAAATGTATTGATCTCCACTAACGATGATGTATTAGTTTTATTTAAGCTTTAAATCAATAGATCTTCAAAACTACTGAACCTAAGTACATTTAATTTTATATCATTATAAAGGGAATTGAAAGACCTTTGAAATAGGGTATCACTCGACCCCCCTATCCATGTAAGATTTTGGGGGTGGTGTCACCCCGCTTAGGGGGCTGCACGTTTTAACGTGATTTTTTGCCAAACTTGTGTCCCCCTCGAAAACAAAATCGACGGGACTGAGCTTTTTCAAAAAAAAAACTGAGCTGCCAGTAAATGCGTCTGTTTCGTTTTCGATGCGCCACCCTGTATACAGGGTGACTTCGAAGTTGAGTCATTTATTTTAACAGTGTGTAGATCTGATCAAAAGAAATGTTTTTTTCCTTTACCATTTTTCTGGTAAAATTAAAGTAACAAAGTTATAGCCCTTTGGAAGTTTGAGTACCGCCCTGTCTCAATAATATCATGTGTTCGTGTTTGGCAACAACGGTTCATCGCATCGGAAACAAAAAAGCGAAAGAATTTGGAACGATGTTTTTACGATTACAATTCAGTTCAGTTATACATACAGTCAGTTTCAGTCGCGTGTGAATAGTGAAATAAAAAATGGCACATGTTTATGCGGATCGGTTTCCCAATCGAGTGCAACCAACCCCTCGTGCCTTTGTTAATGTAGTACAACGGGCTCGTGAATCAGGTGACTTAAGACCTCACAGGGGACCTCACGATCAAATACAGGTCCGCACTGAAATACTTGTCGGGAGGATACTTTATAAAACAAGGTAAAAATTTTTTGTATTTTTTTTTTTTATTTTTACACACATATTTTGGTTTATCTTCCTTCTACAATCATTATCTGAAAATTAATGACTCAACTTCAAAGTCACCCTGTATACACTCTGCCTAAAATGTGTTGCTCCAATGTAATTTGGAATCCTAAATCTTATTTAGAACACTGTATGCAATGGATGCAATTTTAGTTTTGTGCTACACCTCTAGTTACAGGTAGTTATTGATTTGGTATCTAAAATAAACCCCACGTAATGAAATGTCCCAGCTAGGTACTATGCCTAGCGCTGTGCATATGTGTAGTAGGATAAAAGTATGTTTACTTAACGAGATTGAGGCTTAGAATTGTATTATTTCTCGCATCGCAATCCAGTATGGATTGAAAAACAAGTTTTTCACGAACTTCAATATTTTCATATAAACAGATTCAACAGGCAGTGCTCAATGAGTATTGAAATATACTAAGTGACATATAAATCCGAACACCCAGTTTAAATGGTTTTATTTTAATAAAATTTTGTATAAGCACTTAATGAAGCATAATAAGTAAATGATAAAAATTTCAAAATGATTGCACTGCTTTAAAGCCCTTTGACCTTTAATAATGTGTGGATGCACCTTGATGTTTTACGCATTCTCCAACGCGCCTAGGCATGCTTCTGATCAGGTGGTCAATGTCCTCCTGTGGTATATCATTCCAGGCAACCACCAACTCCTCTCGTAGTGCTTCTAGAGTCTGAGGAGGACGTTGCAAATTGAGCAATCTCCTACCCATCATATCCCACACGCGCTCAATTGGGGATAAGTCGGGAGATCTTGGTGGCCATGGTAACAATGCCACATCATTATGTTGAAAGAAGTCTATTGTAACTCTTGCAACATGTGGTCGGGCATTATCTTGTTGGAAAGTTGGATCTGCCAGGGTGTCAAGATATGGTAAAAGATGGGGTTCTAGAACTTCGTGGATATAACGCTGCGCGTTCATGTTACCTCTGATGAAGATTAAAGGTGACCTGGAACCATAAGCTATAGCACCCCAAACCATAACTCCAACAGTATGATGAACATGTCTTTCAACAAAAAACTGTGGATTCCTCCTTTCACCACGTCGCCTTCTAACCCTGGCACGACCATCGTGCATGCCTAAACAAAATCGAGACTCGTCACTAAAGACAATACTGTTCCATTCCTGATCCCAGAGTGACCGTTGTCTGCACCACTCAAGGCGATTACGTCGATGTTCTCGAGTTAAAGGGAGGACCCAGTGTGGCCGGTATGAAAACAAGCCAAAACTTCTCATTCGTTGGTAAACACTTCGCATGCCAATAGGTCTTCCGTGTTCTGCAAACCATTAATTTGCAATGGACGTGGTAGTGGAGAAACTGTCCCTTAAGGCCAATAATCTTAGGCGGCGATCTTCACGGTCTGTTGTTCTACGGCGGCATCCAGTGCCCCTTGCTCTTTGCGTAGGGCCTTCTCGAAGCCTTGCCTGACAACACCT